TGCTTCAGGAATTATTTCAAAAATTAAAGTCCTTTTCAAAGTTCATTCTCCCATTTTCAAAGTTCATTTTCCGAGGATTTAAATTAACTATTCAAAAAATTATTAGATATTATCTATGAATTGTTTATTCACTTGCAAGACCGTCTTTGAGACCAACAACTTGGCCAGCTTCACACGGCTGGAAGGACATCTGCTGATTTTATGCCTATTTATAGTCACGTTACATACGTGCGCGATGACCAGTTCGCCCACCCACGAGGGCGGGGCAGGATTTTTCAGCAGCCAAGGTTAGGTGCGCTGAATCACACATGACAGCATTGCAGGCTGGAGGCAAACTGACGGTTCCTAAGCGGAGTTGGCAACGGATTTGTCTTACTTATAATATCTCATACGCTACCATTTGAATTCAATATTCTTTTCAGTGGAGCAGGGTTTGATATAAAATCAATAAAAAGAAACAAGTGAAGGGTTTAGATTTTATTCATCGTTGCTGGCCTGCGCTTCTTGGGCCTCGGAATGTTCTTCTTCCTCCTCTTCAACGTTGGCAGGACGGTGTACCGTAAAGTTGGATAGAAGAATGCCTTGTGTGGTATCCCGACGAACTTTCTTACGTGGCTGTTGCAACCCACTGCTTCCTGCTCTGGGTTGAAGCTCATCATCGCTTGACGATAATTGGTTCGGCGTCATGAATTTCGGCATTGTAGTTTGAACAACTGCTCTATTTAGCATCGCTTGCGGACGTTTACGGGGCCGTAGAGATTCTTGCGCCTCCTCCATTGTTATCCGATTTTGAGGCAGAACTTTTGGGCGAAGAAAGGTGACATGAACGTTTCTCCGTTGATTTGGAGGCTCGCCTGGTACATCCGAAGGTGTAATAGAGTGCTTGTACCATCCGGCACAAATGATGTCCTCACTATTATCAGCGAATCGGCCGAAGAGCTGCTTTACTTTTTCTCCCACTAGGTCCACGTCAACCCTTTCTGCCTGGAACAATATAAATTATTGATCGCACCACTTTTTTATTAGACGTAACGTTATTAAAAAGATAATAAAAACTGTCGCGAATTTCACAAATTACATCAAGTATTTTTGGCGTAGGAGGTCATCGTTACCTGCATAATGCATCGTACATAATTGAACGTTAATATTACCTGCAAGACCGCCTTCGAGATGAGGATATTGGCAAGTGACTCGCTGCTGTAGGCGCATCGTCTAATTGCGAAGCCTTTGATGGTGATTTTGAACGTGAGGCAGCGCCTGTCGCTGCGGCCTCCGGTCAGGGCAGGGCACCGGTTGTCGTTCTTCGTCGACTTGTGGAGGGAATCGCACATTACAGACGAGCACGCTTTTGGTAAGCCCACTTCTCGGATGCGAACGTCTTTCGCAGGCACCTCAATTAGGAAAGTTTTCACAGGTTCCTTACTGGTGACAGCGTCGAGTACTGTGCTGAGGCATATGTCGCTCGTGTTCGGCGACACATCTATCGGAACTAGTGTCGTATCGGTTGTAATTATAGGCAGATTGTGTATAGTCCCGCTAGATTGGGGCTCGTAGATGGCCACCCACGAACCAACGAATGTCACATTAGGATATCTAAATAGATGGAAAGCATCGTCCAAAGTGGGGGCGATCATGTAGAAAGCCTGTCCAGTTTGGAGTTCCCTGCATGGAAAATAAAAAGATGAAAATTATTTTTGGGGCATGCGCTCTTATAACGCAATGATCCGATAACGTCGGTATAAAGGGTAAAAAAACGATTTAAAAAATATTCAGAAATGCGATCGGGGCACAGATAGGCACTTTTTCTCAGCCGCGACTATGACGGATATTATCTGCTTATTTACCTCAGTAGCAACAGCCGGCTGTACGTAGTCAGCATTTTGCCATTGCGTTGGTATTGGAACTTTTTTGCGTTATCCTTATCCTTAGACTTCTTTATGTTGAGAATCAGAGCGTAGAGCACCCTTTGGTCCTCGTCGTCCGAGTCATCATCTTCTTGTCTTTCTTCCTTTTGTAAGGTAGCAATATCTACACATTTCCCCTTTTGGAGGATATATGATGCCGCATCTTGCCACAGTTCATGGTCGATCTTCTCTTGAACACCGTTCATCTAAAGGGAAGAAAGGTCTATTCGGTTCTCAGTGAGATTTGAAACTGCCCCCAATTTATAGCTGACATTTATTTGCTGCTAAAATTTCGGTATCTTCAAATGAGGCAAGACAACAGTTTGCTGACTGATAAGTACAGAAACGAGCACTATTGCCGAAATAGTCAGCAGCATATAATTAATCAACACTTGGCAAGTAAAATGTGTTACTTTCATTAGACTATAGATTTTAAGAAACGGGACTCTCTTACTGTGCTGAGAGTGCCGCTTGCAGGCGTTGACGGCGCACGCGTGGGAGCTCGAAGGACGATCGGCAAGGCGCCGAGGCAGTTGCACACGAATCTGATGAAGGACATAATTGGTGGAAAAAGTTGCAGCAAGAACCAGCCAAATAAGTTAGAAGCAATAGTTACTTTTAGTTCAAAAAAGAATAAACTTGGGTACTGCAATAAGTGGCGTAATGCTGACCCAAGGTAATACTCGAGATTACTCGTTCTGAGATTGGTACTATTTCAAAACTTCAAATAAGAGATTCAGGGCAGTGCGAGATCAGAACGATACTATAAGTGGGCCATATTGAGACCTAGCCTTTTGAATATTTAGTCGTTATGCACAAGATAATGAATCGCAACTACAGGGCTAGTTTATAAACTAAAAATTCCGAGTTGTTTATGCGTGGACTGCCAGTCGAAGTTATCGAAGCTATGTTGCGAGTAGAAGTGCGTAACACTGAAACCTGGTAAATGCACCGTAACCTTGTCCCTTTTGGTTTTTCTTAACATCAAGGCAGTTTTAGGGTGACGGGAGACAAGTCAAGAATTAAGAACAGTGTAACTAAACTAAGCCAATTTCTGAATGTCTACATTTAATGCTGCTTTGACAGAGGGCTTCGAAGGGAGGAAGTTTAACCGTAAGCACCATTCTTCACGTTCAATTAAGTACATAGCTGAAAGCTGTAATTTGATAGGATTACGCGACAAAGAGCCTCCTCAAGTTTCATTTCCTTTTTTGAAGTGGTGCGGCGACCGTCAAGGCGGTGATGGTAAGACACAGAAGCCAGGGACAGCTGCTTTATTCCAAAATAGCAGGACGTGCTTCGGAAATGTGTAGCTACCTTTTTACACATTGTATTAAATACTTTCAGATGAAAATGACGGGCGAAATACCAATTACGGTACGCGAACCCAATTACGACTTTGCGCCGGGCTTTTATCATATATCCGCCGATCATTAACTAGAATTTTGGAAGTAAAGTTTAGAAATTTAGCGAAAATTGCTATCCATGTAAATCTATAGCATTTCTAAACAGAGAAGCACGTTTGCTTATCTGAATTACAGGACATGCTAGGTAAACGGAAATGCACTATAAAGTGATCACGAATTCCGAAGCACAATTCAGTTCAAATTCAAATTTTAGACATTCCGTGCCGAAAAGTGAGCTAGGGTACATTTACCTCGTGCAGTACTGGCGTAATATTTGTTTCGATAATCTAGATACTCTAAACTTCTTATGAGCGGTAAATAGATGAAGTAATGTGGTATTGAATACGGTAGTGGAGCAGGAAGCGTGCGAAGTTTAACTCAGGGCTGCGGTTTATAGTCTAAAAAGATAGAGTTATTGATGCTTTGAGCAGACTTGTCTATCAAAATTATCTGTAGACCATAAGTGCTTACAACCTCTAAGGCCGGGTAAATGCACAATAGCATATTAAATTTGTAAAACATTTCGTGAAAATCAAACTAGTTGAAATTTGTATACGAGGTTTGAGGTCATGTATGCTTTTGATAATGAACCAAATTGACGGGATTAGAATAAATTCAAACTTGATCAATTATTTGCAAACTGCGGCAGAGCTTAATTTACGAACACTACATCGTTCCCAACTCTTGTGCAAAACTAAGACGGCAATCACGAAAGACAAATTTTGTCCACTACTTAGAAGAGATCTATTTTGCGATAATTATCACAACTTCAATAAACTCGTTGAACGGTTAAAGCAATGATATAGACATAAAGAGGTCGGGGCGCCAGGAGCTTTACAAACTTACGCAAGGAGCTTTTCGCTGGCGGTTGCCGAGGATGTTGAAGGCAATAGGGGCAATGTGAATAGGGAAAATTCAGGAATACATAGAACAATAAGAATTTTATAAGAAGATACTTCACAGAATCATTGCGCACGATTTGAGACGGATTTTCAGTCTCCAGTCTATGTTGAAATCCAGAAAATAGCACATAGCGTTACCCAAAAAGAGTTAAAAATCATTTCTTACATAAATGTACACAGATAAGTATCAGAGACTAAGTGGATGTAATGGATGTTGAAGGCAATAGGGGCAATGTGAATAGGGAATATTCAGGAATACATAGTAGAATAAGAATTTTATACGAAGATACTTCACAGAATCATTGCGCACGACTCGAGACGGATTTTCAGTCTCCAGTCTATGTTGAAATCCAGAAAATAATAGCACATAGCGTTACCCAAAAAGAGTTAAAAATCATTTCTTACATAAATGTACACAGATAAGTATCAGAGGCTAAGTGGATGTAAAAATGACTGGAGTAAGGCGATAGGGGAGAAGTATACACCTCAGTTTGAGTACTACCAACTCGTTTGCCACAGAATGCAGTTAAATTGAGGTCAATTTTATTAAGTTCAGAGAGGCTGTGAGTTTACGATACTTATTCTTGTAAGATCACATTGCTTAATTTGAGCTAGCTTTCGTAGTTTTTTAGCGACGCTGGAAATCTTCAAAGGAACCGTTCTTGAATTTAAACGCATATCAAGAAAACAGCCAGTTACTTCCTTATCAATTGAGCTATGATATACTAATAAGAAATATATTCTTTGCCATTATTCAATCTATGTGCTACTTGACATTAGAAACTTACGGTGATTTGGCGACAGTGAGACCAGAAGGAGCTGTCGGCAGCTCGACTGTAGGGAACACTAGACGCCACACGAGGAACACTAGACGCCACACGAGGAACACTAGACGCCACACGAGGAACACTAGACGCCACAAGAGGAACACTAGACGCCACAAGAGGGACGCTAGACGCCACAAGAGGGACGCTAGACGCCACAAGAGGGACGCTAGACGCCACAAGAGGGACGCTAGACGGCACAAGAGGGACGCTAGACGGCACAAGAGGGACGCTAGACGGCACAAGAGGGACGCTAGACGGCACGAGCGGGACGCTAGACGGCACGAGAGGAACGCTAGACGGCACAAGAGGAACACTAGACGGTACAGGGAGACTAGACTGAACAGACTAACGGCACACAGAATGCTTCTACGTACTAGAAGATCCAGAGCGACAATGAATCGGGAAACGGAAAGCAGCGCCCTTACAAGCTTTGATACGAAGCTTTGTCTTCGCATTGTTCTTTTAGTATCTCGCATGGCAATTGGAAATAGTTAGATTGATGTATATTCGATTGCATGTTGAATTTAGTATTTATTTTTCTTCAAAGTTAACAGGAGATAACAGGAGATGAAGAGGTATATATATTAAATAATTTTTAAGGATAGACTAATAAATAATGAGTTTATTCTTGATTAGTATTGAATTGGCAATTAATATAGGAATAATTTTGTACTGGTCAGTGAAAGGCTGAATTGATATTTAATTGAGAAAACACATTACAAATAGTAAAATCGAAATAGCATGGAAGATATTGAAGCAGCTGGTAGTAAATTTATTAGGTCTAATGTTGGACGATTTGAGACGTGTTCAACGCTTCATTGAAATATATAGTGGATTGGAGAAGAAAAGACTTTTTTATATATTTATTTCGAAGAGTTTAGAGCAGAGGATAGATTTTACGGGCATCTATATTGCTGGGTAAATTGTGTTGATATGTTGTTACCTTGAAATTTATTCTTTCATTCAAAAATTTTGACTTGAGATCATTTGTGAATTGGTAACGCAGGTGACCTAATGATGAATTTTTGTTTACTTTAAAACAATAGATTGGTAAAGTATCGAACTTACTTCATTCAACCATCGACGATTTGGTTACAACTTCATACACGCATTTCTTGATTGCTGACCAATATTTTAATATGCACTGTTGACGAACACTAGACGACTCAAGAGCAACACGAGAGGAACACTAGACGACACGAAAGGAACACTAGACGGCACAGGGAGACAAAAAACGCTTGTACGTACTAGAAGATCTAGAGCGACAATAAATAGGGAAACGAAAAGCAGCGCCCTTAAAAGCTTTGATACGAAGCTTTGTCTTCGCATGGTGCTTTTAGTATCTCGCATGGCAATTGCAAATAGTTAGATTGATGTATATTCCATTGCATGTTGAATTATTATTCATTTTTCTTCAAAGTTTACAGGAGATTACAGGAGATGAAGAGGTATATTTATTAAATAATTTGTAAGGATAAACTAATAAATAATGAGTTTGTTCTTGATTAGTATTGAACTGGCAATTAATATAGGAATAATTTTGTACTGGTCAGTGAAAGGCTGAATTGATAAAGTTTTAGGTGATAGTATTCATTCATTATTCGAAGCCATAGTTCAATTGAGACAACACATTACAAATAGTAAAATCGAAAAAGCATGGAAGTTATTGAAGCAGCTGGTAGTAAATTTATTAGGTCTAATGTTGGACGATTTGAGACGTGTTTAACGTTTCATTCAAATATATAGTATATTGGAGAATGAAAAACTTTTTCATAAATTTATTTCGAAGAGTTTGGAGCAGAGGATAGATATTACGGGCATCTATATTGCTGGGTAAATTGCCTTGATATGTTTTTATCTTGAAATTTATTCTTTCATTCAAAATTTGACTTGAGATCATTTGTGAATTGGTAACGCAGGTGACTTAATGATGAATTTTTGTTTACTTTAAAACAATAGATTGGTTAAGTATCGAACTTACTTCATTCAACCATCGACGATTTGGTTACAACTTCATACGCGCATATCTGATTGCTGACCAATATTTTAATATGCAGGGTAATCAATATTTAGCGTTATAACTTTGAGTGGTTAGAAATATGAAATGAAACACAATTGTGAATGTTTTAAAATGTATTTATGTAGGCAGAGGTTCAGAGATGCAAATCCCACAATTTCATTCAATATGTCCACCATCGGCATCAATAACGAGTTGTAGAAGCTTAGAGAAAGCCTTACACGAGTCACGAATGACACTTTGCGGGATTATTGCCCACTCCTTCAGCATGTGACCTATAGGGTTTACAAACTGTGATGGTGAACGGTCGAGACCTTGCTCTCAAGGTATGACCAGATTCCAAAATACAGAGGTTTCAGATCGGGTGACAATGGGGGCCATTCATCTTTGGTAATGAAGTAGGGAACATTCTTGGACAGCCACTCCAGAATCGATTTGGCCCCGTGGGGTGGTGCAGAGTTCTGCTGAAACGACCAGGGACGTTTTTTGAAGTGTTTTCGTGCCCAGGGCAACAATGCACCAACAAGGATGGCATGTCGATAATTCTTCTGATTCAATTTCACACCTTTGTCAACAAAAAAGAGGGGACTCCTTGAGGGCTCTGTCACGGCTGCCTAAACCATCACTGAGGTCGGGCATTGCTTCCTAGTCACCACACGGGATCCTTCGTCCCCATTCTTCGACCAAATTCGATCGGTTTGGGAGTTGAAGTGGTGTTCAACATTGAATATCTTCTCCTCACTGAAATCGAGGTTTGGAAGCGTATATCGTAGTTTTGCGCGTGACGAGAGATCAGTAGTTCGTCTTTGAATTTCTATGCGTTTATTTGCCGGGATATTGTGAGAACTTTGGCAACAGGTTAGTGATCTCTCTACAATCCGTCGTTTGGTTATCAAAGCTGAAGCTTTGCTTGTCAGTATCGTGAGGATGCTATGATAACGTGAAATGATTTAGTTCCATGTTATTAACGATATTGTGATACTAAGCGCTCCAGATAACCAATAACGAGTCTTCGAGTGTCCTGAAGACTATTCGAACCAATTTGAACAATTTTCGAGGGGATGTAAAGGTGGTAAAATGTCGTCGCTGCATGTCGTCGCTTTTATTGGCAATTTGGTAGCATGAAGCAGGTCTGACTTACGAGGACAGCTCTTGAAATAATCAAATCGTCGTGGTTTCCGTGTGTAACTATGGGTTTCGATAGGCTTGACTACGGCTTTAAAGATTATTGCCGAGTCTCGTGATCGGAAAGACATCGCTCAGCAACATGCGTTCCACGGAGAACATGCGTTCCACGGAGAACATGCGTTCCACGGAGAACATGCATTCCACGGAGAACATGCGTTCCACAGAGAACATGCGTTCGACGGAGAACATGCGTTCCACGGAGAACATGCGTGCCACGGAAAACATTCGTGCCACGGCGAATATTCGTTCCACGGAGAACATGCGTACCACGGAGAACATGCGTACTACGGAGAACATGCGTTCCACGGAGAACATGCGAAATGCGTTCCACGGAGCATATGCGTTCCACGGAGCATATGCGTTCCAAATATGCGTTCCACGGAGCATATTTGTGCCACGGAACAAATTCGTGCTAGGCCCAATATTTACGTTAGGTAGATTATTTAGGATAGGTAGAACTTCCGTGTCACACAGAACCACCAGGCATGATGCAAGTGAAGGTGCAGTAGTGATTTCTGAGTAAATGCATGCCGGTACGTAAGAGTGGCTAGAGGCCAGGATGAAAAATTTTGTGCTCTTTTTACAGACGTCAGACCAAGGCGTCGAGCAAAGTTCAAGAATGGCGACCTTAGTCTTTTCGAATGAAGTTTACCTTCTTCATTTCAATTCCTGTATTGGTAGTATTCACGCCCGAGACTCAGTGCTAACATTATGAAGAGCGCAAATGAACGTCTGCGCGTGTGTGAACAATTCGTATCAGAAGTATATTCAAATTAATTCGAAGAATAGTGAACCCGATTTGGAGATTAGTCAAATGAATCGTGTCTTTCGCCGAAATCTCAACGTATGAAGACGCACATGAACGTCTGATCGTGGGTGTGCAATACGCATCTGAAGTATATTCAAATTAATTTCAAGTTTAGTGAACCCGATTTATAGGCTAGTCAAAGAGATCTTCATATATTCAAATGAACTTGCGCAATAGAATTTTACTCGGTTAATGGCGTACTGAAGCCACGCTTACTCCTTCATTAGGTTTGCGATAAATGCTTTGGAATTGGATAACTTCGAACAGTGTCTTCATGGCTTCGCCATTCTCAGTCAACATCCTGCGTCTCAGGCTTTCATGAAATGAAAGCCCGAGACCGGCTTCCATAGAATGGAAGCCCGAGACCGGCTTCCATGGAATGGAATCGACGGGCTTCCATGGAGACGGGCTTCCATGGAGACGGGCTTCCATGGAGACGGGCTTCCATGGAGACGGGCTTCCATGGAGACGGGCTTCCATGGAGACGGGCTTCCATAGAGACGGGCTTCCACGGAGACGGGCTGCCATGGAATGCATCTCGGGCTTCCATGGAATGCGTCTCGGGCTTCCATGGAATGAAAGCCCGCGTGGAAATGACCGGTTTTACGGATGGAAATGACCGGTTTTGAAGATTTTTGATTTAATTATATTCAGATAGGCAGCCTGCGCTATCATACTTGTTGCGATATAGGAGTCTAAATTTCAATTGGGTATATTTTCAAGGAATTAATTCAAAATTTGCCAATGCTCCATAATGGAATGTTTTTCATCCGCAGATGTTATGCTCAATGACTGTAATAATGATGTCAAATTTCAATACTTGTCAGAGCTACTAAGGATGACGTCATGATGGCATCATGATCAGTTAAAAATGGATATATTGTACATATTTTGAACATATTTACTTGAACCTTTTAGAAAAAATTTGAGATGCCTCCATCATAGACATTCCATTTAGGTTAGGTGCTGATAGAAAAATGGTTTTTATGAAATCGTGTAAGTTATGCTATGAAACATTTCTTGCGATGACATGTATTGTTTTATGATGCTGCTAACTTAAACCTTGAGGTTAGGTGAAGATGGCAAAGTGTCTTTTAAAGTGAACGCGCGTTTTGACATATATCGACTACTAGTGTAACGAGACGAGAACCGGAATTTGAACGTTTACTTTGCGATTGTGGCAGGTAAATAGGAGTTCTTTTGACACCGACACATTATACGTTTTGCTCTCGGATTGCTCATTATTATACGTAATGCTCATTAATGAATTGATTTGATAGGAGATGCAGATAGGATACAAGTTAAGGTTAGGTGGGTCTATGAAAGATGTTTTTAATAAAGTGAATGCGTTGTTTTGACACATCCACTTTCGGAATGCGTTCACTTTCGGGTGCCGTCCGGGTCCCTTCCGCTGTCAAAGTAGACTTGCCAGGTTTAAGACAGCTTAGGTTTTAGACGCCGTGCAATTTTAATGAATGTAATGACTGAGGACTTCTGATGCAGCACAGACATAGCTGATGGAATCTGGGGTTAGGTAAGGAGGGCCAAGTTTTTTTTAGAGCAGGGCCGACTCGATGAGACAACCTGAGGTTGGGTTAAGAACCGAAAGGCATTTTCCTTGTAGGGATGAGCATGCTCTTGGACATGATTGTGTCAACATCAACAAACTATCTGGGGATACTATGGTTAGGTTAGGGACTACAGGTTGTTGTTTATAGTGAAATTATGAACTAACGGAGTCGTAAGGTCGTATCTGACATACACGCAGTATATCTGACGCTGAGTCAATGTTGATGTTGGTTTTAATGGAAGCAGATGGTGCGATAGACATGGTGGGATGATAGACGATTATTTAATTAGTATTGATATTGTTATGTTATGTTATGTTATGTTATGTTATGTAATTAAATATTGTCATAAAGAATATCAAATGGACATTAAAAACTGATAAATTTTGGGTCAAAAGGAACATCTTTAGGTGGATGAGATTATGGAAAAGTTGAATTTTATATTTATTTACCATTAATTTGATTGACACCCTAATATATTTTATATTATAGTATATCATTGAGACATTGTAGAATTTCAGCTTTAATATTCAAATTCAATTGAATCTTACAGATGGGTCCAAAAAAGAAGCCCAAGAAAAGGAGGTGCTCCAGCTGTAACAGATTTGGTCACTATACGGAGGATTGCCAGGAAGAAGCAGACCTCGATGTGGCTACAACATCTCTGACTTCACAGATCTCTGAGGTATTATTATTTGATATAGACCTTCTGCTGTGTAGGCTTCAGTTTTACTATACTGGTTCCCAGTTTCATCTTAGTCTGAATTCAAAGGGCTTCAACCTGTTCAATGCATGTACTGTGGAACTGCATTGCAAATCATGGTACACATGCTTGTCTGCTACAATTGCTTCACAAAATTATACACTAGTTTATTATACAGCTTGCCTGTCTCAAGAATTTTTTTTGGTTTTAAATGTTTTCAAGTATTGGTCAGCCAAACATATTTGTGATATTTGTGTACAGTGTACATATTGTGTCTTGCTGTTTTAATTTAAATTAAAAACTTTTTGGACCCTGTTTGTTCACAGAGCCTGACAGGTGTGGTCTCAATGCTTGAGCAGCACACGACAGGTCCGATCTGAACCTAGTTTATATTGATGTTTCTATTGTACTTTTCAGGATCATTATTGTAACTGTTACTTTTACTACTTTCTTCTGTTTAGTGAGTTAATACATTCACTTTTTTTTAATTTGTTACTTAGCAGATTTCATTTTTGTATCACCCAATTTATTATAATATCTTTGATTTTTGCAGAGTCCTCCATAGAAGAGACAGAAGACAGCTCGTCCAGAGTTTGGAATAGTGCAGTGAGTATTCTATTGTCACTAAGAAAGTTTGAAGCAGTGCCAGCATTAGTGTGGATATGTTGTCATAACCACTTCAAATGTCAAGATGTATTATTGCCTTGGATATCTGTATTTTGTAGGTATTTAAGGGCAAATGTGTTCAAAGGCAAGACATCACAATGCTGGTGTGCCACCAAAATAATTTTGAAGATTTAATAACAGTTTAAACCTTCAAATCTTTGATGCAGTCATTTAATTTTAAAATTTTTAGGATTCAAAGACAACTTTAGTGTTATACGTAATACTTGTATAATGTAAACATTATGTCACATCCAGCATACCATTCTCAAAATTTATCTTTGTATAAAAGTTGTGAATACCTACATTTTAACTTCAATATGAATGCTTTACGTATCAAATTCCATGTATTTTCCTGCGCCATGTATTCTCTTGTTTTTAACTTTATGTTTGATTTATTCATTGTAGTTTCATTAACTATGTTTTCTGCTCTATTAATTAATGCCTCAGGCATGTTGTCTCAGCTAAAGTGGCCTGTTAATCGATGGTGTATCAGCTTACCTTTTGTTGCCAGTATTTGTTTGTAAATTTATTCAATATGACCATTTTTTGTGCAGATATCATGTTCTCGGAGCGGTGTGCGAGGCGTTGTCTGGTATAGTGCACGCGGTCAGAAGAACACCGGGTCTGCGAGGCTGCAGTTGCAGTCCACGAGGCTGGCACGGAAGGATCCTAAGAGCGCCACTTGTCGTAAGTACTAGTAGAATTAAAAGTATGGTACTTCCGAGCTCGAAGCAGCTGCCAAGAGCAGCTGCTTCGAGCTCTGCTCGCCGCAGGCGCTTACCTGCGTTCCGCAGCAGTTAAGTGACTCAGGTCGGCGGCTCGTTGGAAGCTAGGATGGGTGGTTTTGTACTATATGTATATTCAAATATGGATTGTATTTAAAAGTAAACCAGCTGAGTCCGAACCAGCTGAGTCTCATTTAAGTCCGAATGGACTTGAATGAGTTAACATTCGTGATATATTTAACATTTATTTATTGTTTTTGAGTACCGGTAATGAATGTGTATTTAATAATAAAGGTGCATGCTTCTGCAGAGTTATCTCAGTGATCTCGCCTTTCTTGCGGTTCACCTTGGAAGCAACAATTGAGTGCGTCAGATCAGACAGCGCAGCGGTTATATTTCATTATTGATAACTTGATAGAATACTTTAATGAGTGAAGTTGCATGCAGTTGATTGAATTGCATGTGCAATGTCGTCACTTAGTATACCTTAAATGTGTCCTACCTCCGTTGAAGTTGCAATTTTTTAAATTCTAATTTAATAACCACATTAGTATACTAAATACGATAATGTTCAATTGAATTTAGCTATAGTGTATTAATTTTTTTTATTGCTGCATATATCCATGAATATAGTTTTCATTAAGTGATTGTGCAATGAATATTAAATGCTAGTGCTTTTTGCAGGGTTATTTTCCGTTCATCTGGTCTGGCGGCCCTGGTTGAAGCTGCCTTGTTTGCCCCACAACACCTACAGCCGTCAGCTGTAGATGGGTGGCGGATGGAGGGCGATGGAGCCCTCTAGGACAAAATAAAGATTATGTTCATTGAAACTCCAAAGTTATTGCCCTTAAATCAGGTTGGATATAGAGAACGAAGGTTGTATAACATTTAAGAAGTCAAGCTTGAACGACGAAAAAATAAGTTGAATGTCAACTAAATATTATTGTTTTTATTTACCCGTTACCCAATTCTGATGCTTAATGGTAGTACAGGAAGATCTGAGATTGAATGAAAAACCTAACCTCAAGAATAGTCAAACATATTTCTTTCACTTTCACTTCTTCATGCCGGTCGTCTATTGGTTGTTTTCATGCACGTGACGTAATTCTTGCTATGAATAAAGCAAATGAACGTCTGAGCGCGGTTAGTACAGTACAAATAGTATCAAGCGTTGATCTGAGGTATCGTCCGTGATTTAGAGAAATTCATATGTATCAGAAAACATGAAATCGATCTATTTAGAACGACGAGGTCTGATGTGTCGGGAATTTGTCCGTTATGTTATTAATCCTAATACTAAAAACGAACCGTACGCATGACATTCATGAAGTAATATGTTGGCTATGATGTGAGTTACTAGCTTCGTGTTCAAATATGAACTGCGTGTAGGGTTAGCATATTAGCGATATGAATAGATGGAAATGTAAGTTGAACATTGTTAGCATCGTTGATGGAAGAATATCTCGGTGATTTTCATGCATCGATCACTGGAACTAGAATCTTTAATTGACTAGAGCTGGGCTGTTCATTCATAATGAAATATGATCAATGTTCGATGGCTGATTAGTACGAGAAGAATGAATTAGTATGAGTGTGATATGAATGATCGTTAATGAAGATTGGATAGCCTTAGTATAACAAATTGAAGAGGCCAGCGTTCCATATAGCACGGGAGCTATACGTTAGCTCATTTGCGACCAACATTGAAACTAGAGCGTTCTATTATGGTAATGTAGAAATGAAAGAAAGCTTTCAGGCGCGCTTTCTGAGTTGCAGCTCAAAGTGCATAGTTTGCAGCCATGAAGTTATACGTCATGGACCGAAAGAACCAAGTCATCTGCATGCTATATGAATATACTAAATCGCAGCCAAGTCTGTACTCTGTACGTTGTTTCAGATAGTATACTGTTTTAAAATATTAAAAAATTGTCATAGTCTTTTTATAGGTTCTTTAATGACATGTAGCTATGCCGCGTACAGAAATTACCCTAAGATTCTTCGCTAGACTCGTCTATGTTTGATGACTGTTGAAATAGATATGAATACCTGATAATTGGTCTACTTCCTGGATAGCGGAAAGCGAGATCTGTGTCCGTGATCGTCGGATTGCTACGGCTGGTTTGAAGTGATAATTTTATTATGAGTTGATTGAAGTTGCACGTTAATATATGAATAAAGTCTGGGAGCTATAATGTGAGCAAAATGTATCGTTTATAACGTAAATTGGATAATATCTTCATCTTTGGTGGTTGAATAATATGTCCGCTATCATGCTTCGATCGCTGGAAACGATATCTTTCATTGATTAACACTGGTGACTGGTCTTGGTTTTCGTATTGAAATAGGAACATTGTTAGTGGGCTGCTGTGCGGGCTATATGAAGAATTGTTAATGAAGGTTGGTTAACGTCAATATATTGAGTTTATGAGAAGTATAGCCAATTCCAAGCATTGAACCCTGGAAAGAATTTCTTTTACAAACCACCACAAGGCTTGGAATTACAATGATAAGACCCAAACGAGTCCAGATGGCGCATATGGAAAATTGGTTAGATTACCTGCTGCCCAGTGTTCATATAAAGTCAAGAACAATAGGCCGTGTTCCACATTCTTTTGAGACGTTATCTCACTTGTAACATATATTAGAAAAAGAACTGAATTTTATTGGTAATGAAGTGATATAGCTATTCAAGCATGCGTACTGAGTTGCAGCTCCAAACGCAGATTTTCAAGCAGTCCATATATTTTTGATAGATCGAAACGAACAAAACGTCTGCTCGCTAAACATAAATATTTAAATGCAGCGATGTTTGTGTATTGTTTCCTATAATTTTAAGGATCTAGCGAACTATTATCATCGAAGTATTTTAACTGGTTTCTTAAAAATATGTCGTATCTACGGCGCATGCATAATTTAGGCTAAGATTTCGAACCGACGTTCCATGTTTAATGGCTGTTGATATAGATCTGAATACGTACATGGCAATTGTATCATTGAAGAGGTTAGCATTCAATTGGCCGGCGATCATGTGACTGGAATTCAAGAGACAATCGTTCAAGCGGCCAGCATTTAGGTGTCGCGTGCAGAAGTTGCAAATAATGGGGACCCGCCGTAACTATAAGGACGTAGCATTCATCGATAAGTAAGCATTTGATTTGCAAAGTAAGCATTTGATTTGCAAATGGTGAAGAGAAGAAGAAGCTGTGACCTAAGAGAATACCTAGATTTTTGAGCATCTAATTATTGGACGAGCAATAGGCCTTCGTCAGAATTCCATTGAAATGAAAGAGGTGTTTCATTCTAGCGGAGTGTTAACTGAGCTTCCACGTGGGTAGGTTGTGTGGTGCCTAAGAGCTCTCTAAGTGCTTGTTGTGTGCTCTGTAGCCTTGCACGGACGTTGCCCCCATTCTCTCTTTTCGTTCTTGCTGACGCAGCAATTCTATTATTGGCACGTCTTTCTACTGCTAGTGTACTCGTTATTTTTTTGCGGCGTGCCACTTGCTTGACTAGTTGCACGTAGCATTCGAGCCAGCATAAGCGTAATTTTGATTGTAGCCACGCAGCAGCCGTTCTGTTTTGGTTTTCGCCTAACCTTATGGAAACGGCCGAGGGATGGAGGGGAGAGGACGCGGGTGCCTGAGTTGCTCGAATGTTAACAACAGGAAGAGGACATTTTTTCACCATTTTTTTCAGGAATTTTTCAAAGCTAGTAAATGTCGTATTTTTCGACTTCCTTTATACTACATAGATAGGAAAAATGTTGTTGTTTAAGCCACTATATTTAGTTTAGCAATATTCCAATTAGTTTCGCTACTATGACTGTTTTACGTGTCAGAGGTGCGCCCCGAGTTGCCCCGCCAGTCCCGAGTTGCCCCGGTTGACGGTATATCAAACATGGAAGAGCTTTTTTGTGATAAAAGAACTTCAGAGCAGAAATTTATTAATAGTATTGAGTCAGAAAGGGCTAATGGAGGATAATGGGTAAGCAACTGATGAGATGGATTGAATCTAAGTGCATAGCCTACAGGCATTGTAGCAGATGCCTGCGTAAAGCATGGAAGGTGCTTATCATAATAGCAGGAATTTATTGGTGAAATTCATTGATAGAATTGATTCAGTGGTGGCTAATGGACATTTGATTGAAATGATGAAAGAAACCTATATTCTTAGTGAATAGTTAAAGGAGGGGATGCGGGTAAGAAAAATTAAAATTATGTTTTTGTATTCAGAAATTGATTGCTGAAATAATAGCGTGACGGTTAATGGATGGAAATGGAAATTGTGATTGAGAAGATTCATGAAACGAATGGATGGAAAATGTCCGTCTATCAAATGCAAAGATAAAGCATTGAGAATATTTTCACCATAATTGCTAAAATTCAGTGACATTAGAATTACGTTTTATGTTTGCGAGCAGCTTTGGGAACTTACATAGGATTAAACAGTTTATGTGCGGCATTGCAGTGTTTTAAGTTAGCATATTTGCCTCAAGCTTTCAGTGACTGGTTCACTGAAAGCTTGAGGCCGCATGCGCATGTGTCGCACAGCACTGACCGCGTTGCGGGCATCCACGCTAATATTGCGTATTTTTCATAGTGAATATATTCATTTGAAAGTATTCCAATCATATATATTCAAATTTAATACGTTAGAAGATACAATGCTTCACTACTAGGTTAATTTTAGTGAACACAAGTAGCGCTGAATAAACTTTTAAAGTTCATTTATTTGGTTTCCATAGGTATGTCTTCTTATCGCAAGAATTTAACTATCGATGAGAGACGTAATGAGTTTGGGTAAGCGTGTTTATTAAATGATTACTAATTTTATCAAGATTACAATGATGTCAATTTTTTATCTGATGTCTCTAGCAACTGGGTATTCTCCTGTTTTTCAACTTTTTCATGTTATATCATTTGTTCAATCATTCATGATGTTCGGTCATTGTAATTCAAGCAGCCTTTTGCTGGATTAGCAGATCTTCTTCTGCGGATGCTATGTGTCCCTTTGGTTGTCGAATATGACTGAGGCGAGTGGTGAAGAACCAAGTCCTCAAAAAAGAGGACAAAAGAAGACTCACCAAGTTAATGACAGGTTAGGGATAGGACACCTGGTTACTTTATTTAAGGTAATGACTAAGGACTTCTGTTCCAGCCTGTACACAGCTAATGGAATCTGGGGTTAGGTGAGGAGTGCCAAGTTATTTTTTTAAGAAGCAAACTATATGTAATAAAGCCACACAGCCTGACAGCCTGGGTCAAAGCAGGACTGACCCATGGTATTAGAACCTAAGGTTAGGTTAATGACTGCAAAACATTTTCCTTGCAAGGATGGCAACCTCAACAAACTTCATGGGGGAACTAAGGTTAAGAAAGGGACTCTAGGTTGTTGTTTATAATGAAATTATGATTGAGTTTTATGCAGCATGACTAAGTATGAGTCAATGTTGGTGTTGCTTAAAGGGAAGCACATGTGTTTTTGTGGTAGACATTGTGGGATGTAGAATTCTTTAGAGTGATATTGATATTAAAATGTAGGGGGTGTTAGGAATTTCTGGTTTGTCACTTTGTAGTGAGGAACTGGAAACAGAAATGGGAAGTAATTACAAGCCATTAATTATCACTCTTAAGTCGTGACTATTATCCTTCCTTTTCAGCATTCAGGGCAAGACGGAGGTGTAGACCGTGTACCTTAGTGTCAATTCCAGCAAATGGGGAAAATGGAAACATTGAATCTCTAGAGACCCTGAAGGATGGAGAATATTTGCCTGTGATTCAGTAAAATCACCAATGAAACAATTGTTTATATGTATTATGTAAGCTGTTCTGAT